GGGAAAGAAGATGGTGAGGGGGAGAGAGAAGGGCGATTCAACAGGCATTGGAAAGTAGGACGAAGAGGAAGAGACTATTGCCTGATGCGGGGTCGAGCGGGAGAAACGCGAAGGACAATCCCATGACGCGACACGCGCTACGCGGGCGAAGGGAGGGAGGAGGGAGGGTGGCAGTACCGCAGGAGCCCTGGTCGCGGACGCGGCGCAGCGAGTAGAGGGACTCGTCGGCGGTCCAGTTGGCGGAGGTCGCGAGGCCCCACTTGCGCGTCTCGACGTCGTAGTTCACGCTCGCGAAGCGGAAGATGCTGTTCTTCCCCGCCGGCTTGAGCGGCGCCGTCGCCGGGTCGCACCCGGCGGAGTACGCTGCGCCGACGAGGGAAGGGAAATGGTGGGAATACGGGGAAATGCGCGAGCGTGCGGGGAAATGCGCGAGAGTGCGGGGAAATGCGCGAGAGTGCGGGGAAATGCGCGAGAGTGCGGGGAAATGCGCGAGAGTGCGGGGAAATGCGCGAGAGTGGGGGGAAATGCGCGAGAGTGCGGGGAAATGCGCGAGAGTACGGGGAAATGCGCGAGAGTGCGTCGTACGGAAGTCTGGAGAGTGCCGTGGGTGGGCGACAATGGCGACGAGGGAAGGGAAAAGGGAGTGGGGGGAAACCTACTAGGGCGTTGGGCGGTCGTGCGGAATGAACGGCGAAACGCAGTGAACAGAAAGTGGCGAATCAGCGGAAACTCACTCGCTGTGGCGGTGGGGCATCGCCATTGGACGAGGGCGACGAGGAGAAGGACGCAGAGCGGCGCATGGCGAGGAGGAAGAGGGAGGAATCGCGACGCACGGGATGTCAGCCCCATGGCGGTAGCTATTAGGGCTCAGGGAAAAGAACGGCTGGTGAAAGGGGTCTATCGAACAAGAGGACGCGTCACGGTGATAGCACGCGCACGAGTGCTCTGTGATTCAGAGTGGACATTCAGCAATGACCGTCTGGCGCTAATTCGGTATGGAGTGCTTGTGGAGTAGGGAAGAACGGGTGAAATGCCGAGGGAGGGGGGGCGCAAGAAAGAAATGCAAATGCGTCGAGAGGTTGGGTTGGGAGGCTGGGGGAGGCAGAAGGAGGGCTGGTTGGTGAGTGTCTCGGCAAAAGATAAATTGCGCCGACCGAGGCTGGGGGGCAAGTAACCACAGTCGTTGATCCAACAGCCCGCAGCTCGTCTACCTGCAACGGTGCGGTTATCGCAGGGCAGTCATGGTTGACGAGCCTTTCGCGATTGGTCATCGTAAGCCCTAGCCTAGTGCCACAGTAGCGGGGCTTGCCACTTAAGCCTCGCCCAGGGGCGCCGCCGAACTGGTGTGACTGTACAGTACCGTAGTTCGTCGAGGCGCGAGAGGCAAGGTGAAGGCTGCACTGTACCAATTGCCTACACTTTGCATTTGCCTGCATCCACTACAGTATCCCCACTGCCATTGCAGCTGCAAAATCACATGCCCTCCTTCCCGCATTCAACTCAAACCCTATCGATACATACAGACCGAGTCGAGAACCATTTCATTCACCTAAAAGGAATATCTTACTGCACTATATATTTACACAAATTTACAAGACGTCTAGGATCACCTACTAATGTCGTTAATTCTTCTCGGTATTTACATGGCATTCTTCTCGGTATTTACATCAAGGCGCTTTGAAGAGCGTGACTGTACAAATGTGACCATTTTTCAACACCTGCAAAACACCAACAGCGACCAACAGCGAGAGAAGAGTGAGCCACACAACACAAGCGACAGGCCTAGAGCAACACGCATGAAAGCAGCAGGCATAGTATCTCACCTCAAACGCAACGTGGCGGAAACCGTACACAAAGGTGGGGCCAAAGGCCCTGTGCAGGGCTCCCGCAGTCTGTATGGCCACCCGCCCACCGCCCCCAAAAAGCGTCTGAGGGAAAAAGACGCAGGACGTGGCAGCAGTCTGGGAGATAACCAAGTCGAAATGGCAATGCGCTGAAGCCACCCAGGTACTTCCCTTTGCGCACACATTTTGAAAAACGCATTCGAGCCACAACTCTACTACGACCTTTACTCACGTGAGTGGACATGTGAACTCACCTGAACATGGCCCCACTTGGAGTCAGGAGTGACTAAGAGGGACGGGTCCGGCAGTGCAGGTGCAGCAGCGGGTGCGCGTGGCGCGGGGATGCGGAAGTTGCACTTGACATAGTCGTTGAAGTCGGGCTGGCCGGGCAGGTTGGTGTGCAGCACGAACTTGCTCACCTCGTAGCCCTGTGGGCGGGGCAAGGGTGCGGGGGGGGGAGGAGAGGGACAGTGGTTGGCGGGCAGAGGAGAGGGGAGAGGGGAGAGGAGTTGGATGGGATGGGAAAAAAGGGCTGCGTGTGAAGGACAAGAGATGGTACTATTGCGGGATCAAAGTGAATGAGAGGCAAGGGAGGATGAGGGGCATGGGGGGGAGGGGCATGGGGGGATGAGGGGCAGGAGGGAACGAGGGGTAAACACAAGAGTACACCTATGAAGCACATCCGCTCGTCTGCTGTCTAATGAGCACATTAGTTCTCACCTGCCCGCTGAAAATGATGTCGAGTCCGCGAGTGTAGTAGCTCCAGACATAGTCAGGGGGCGAGGAGGACAGAGGCGCGGAGGAGGCAAGTGAGGGGGAGGAGGGATGGATGAGGGGGGACGCGGGCGAGGAGGAGAGGGCAGGGGGAGCGAGGGCGGTGTGGATGGCCTTGGCGGCGTGGTGCTTGGCGCCCATGAAGCACGGCCGCCCCAGCTCTGACCACACGTCCTGGGGGGGGGACGGATGGGGGGGAGAGGGGAAGGACGCGGACAAGGGAGGGAGAGGGGCAGCGCAGCAGACACGTGGGTGCTGGCAATTGATGGGCGTTACGGACGAGGAGAGCGGGCAGGGGAGAGGGAAGGAGGGAGTTGCGGGGGCCAGCAGCTGACCTGCGCGGAGTCACCAAAGGCGATGCGCTGGCCGCCGTGTGAGAAAAGGATGGCCTCGCCTGGCTGGTGGGGGGGGGGGGGGGGAGAGGGAGGGGTGAGAGAGCAGGGGTAGGTGTGGGAGGAGGGAGAAAACGGGCAAAATGCAAGGAGGACGGGAGGAGATGGGTTGGAATCAGCGGCGCCTCGAAGCATACCAGGTGAGCGAGCACCAGCGCCATGCCATGCCCCACCCACCTGCACCATGCCTCACCTGCACCATGCCTCACCTGCACCATCAGCGGCTCCATGTACACCGCCCCATTCGCCATCACCAGCGGCAGCGCTGCAAACCGCTCTGCCGCCCGCCCCAAGCCATCCCCCTCCCCGCACTCCAGAGCCCCCACCCCCCGCCCTCCGTCCCCCCCTTCTCTCTGCCCTTGTGCCGCCGCGTCTGCCATCACCCCGTCGCCGTCTCTCGCCACCCCAGCAGCACATGCTCTGTCGTGCGCGGGCAGAGGCGGCTCCCCCGGTAGGTGCAGCACCACCCGTGAGAGGCGCGGCGCCGAGCCGTCTGGCAGCTGCATGGGGAGGTCTGAGGAGGGGGAGAGGGGGGAAGAGGAGCATGAGGGGGGAGAGGAGCATGAGGGGGGAGAGGAGCATGAGGGGGAGAGGAGCATGAGGGGGGAGAGGAGCATGAGGGGGGAGAGGAGCATGAGGGGGGAGAGGAGCATGAGGGGGGAGAGGAGCATGAGGGGGGAGAGGAGCATGAGGGGGGAGAGGAGCATGAGGGGGGAGAGGAGCATGAGGGGGGAGAGGAGCATGAGGGGGGAGAGGAGCATGAGGGGGGAGAGGAGCATGAGGGGGGAGAGGAGCATGAGGGGGGAGAGGAGCATGAGGGGGGAGAGGAGCATGAGGGGGGAGAGGAGCATGAGGGGGGAGAGGAGCATGAGGGGGGAGAGGAGCATGAGGGGGAGAGGAGCATGAGGGGGGAGAGGAGCATGAGGGGGGAGAGGAGCATGAGGGGGGGAGAGGAGCATGAGGGGGAGAGGAGCATGAGGGGGGAGAGGAGCATGAGGGGGGAGAGGAGCATGAGGGGGGAGAGGAGCATGAGGGGGGAGAGGAGCATGAGGGGGGAGAGGAGCATGAGGGGGGAGAGGAGCATGAGGGGGGAGAGGAGCATGAGGGGGGAGAGGAGCATGAGGGGGGAGAGGAGCATGAGGGGGGAGAGGAGCATGAGGGGGGAGAGGAGCATGAGGGGGAGAGGAGCATGAGGGGGGAGAGGAGCATGAGGGGGGAGAGGAGCATGAGGGGGGAGAGGAGCATGAGGGGGGAGAGGAGCATGAGGGGGGAGAGGAGCATGAGGGGGGAGAGGAGCATGAGGGGGGAGAGGAGAGAATCAGTAGAGTGACCGATGCAAGGTGGCGCAGGGCCTCACAGATGGGAGAGAGAGAGGAAGGGCGCGATTGAAGGGCTCGATTGAAGGGCACGATTGAAGGGCACGATTGAAGGGCTCGATCGAAGGGCTCGATTGAAGGGCACAATTGAAGGGCGCGATTGAAGGGCGCGATTGAAGGGTGCGATCGAAGGGCACAATTGAAGGGCGCGATTGAAGGGCGCGGGTAGGGCGGGCAAGTGCTCACCCTGCGAGGGCTGCTGGAAGCAGTGGTGGTGGTGGGCGGGGATGGGGAAGAGCAGCGCCATGCCCTGGCGGGGTGGGGGGGGAGGGAGGACAGCAGGGAGGGGAGGAGAGGGGAAACGACACCGGTAAAGGAAGAAAGCTAAGGTTGCTGGGACGGGTTTAGAGGCGCGTCAAGACAAGGCAAGAGTGAGGCAGGGCACGGGGCGCAGCAGCGAGGCCATGGGATACGACGGACATGGAGGCAGGGCAAGTGGCAGTACCGGGTAGGCAAGCGTGTAGCAGGAGGCTTCGGTGTTGTAGGCGCCTGGAAAGGTGGGGCCCAGCACGGAGTAGACGTGGGCGAATGTGGGCGCCTGCATGGGCCCGCTGTGCAGGCGAGAAAAGCGGGGGGCGGAGAGGCATGGACAAAGAGGGAGGGAGGAATGGACAATGATACGGAAGGCGAATGCGAAAGGAGGCAAAAACAGCCCAGCAGAGAAGGGAGAAGAAGAGTTGAGCGATGAGGGCGATGGCCGTGCGTGCGTGCAGGCATACCCGAGCAGCGAGGCCCCGAATCTGAGGTGCAGGCGAGAGATGTCCGCCACGTCTATGCGGTGCAGGCGCTGGGGGGAAGGGGGGGAGAGAGGAGGGGGAAAGGGAGGAGCGGGGAAGGCAGGCGAGGGAGACGAAAGTAAGGCATGAGAGGTGCCCGGCACGCCTGCCGACGCTGACGGGGGGGGAAAGGAGGGGGTGAGGAAAGGAGAAGCATACGGATGGCAAGTGAGCGCGGAGGCTCACAGTCTGCCAGGATGCACACGTTCCCCTGCCCCCCCACATGCACTGCGCACGCCTCTCCCTCACCGCCCCACCTGCACGTGCGGGTCGAAGCAGAGGCGGAAGCCGAGGTGGGGGAAGGCGATGACAATGTCGCGCGCCAGCGGCTCCTGGTGGGGAAAAGGCACGTGGGGGAAGACTCTTGAGAATTCGAAAAATTCTCTCACCGGGAAGAGAAGAGAAGAGAAGGCCACTCTGGCGTTTACGCACAGCACCAGGAGAGGGGGCTTCAAAACACATCCTCTAGGGGTAAGAGTGAATGCCCCACCTGCTGGCAGTAGTTGACGACGATGCTGTCGAAGACGCCCAGCTGCGTCTCCACCTCCGCCAACGCGTCGCACAGCGCCATGCCTGCTCATGGGCAGACGGGCATGGAGGCACGAGAGCACAGGTGAGGTGGTCACTCGCGGGTGGCGCCGGGAAGGGATGGGCAGCGGGAGGACGAGCGCGAGAGCAGCCTCGGAGAGACGAGAGACGAGAGACGAGAGACGAGAGACGAGAGACGAGAGACGAGAGACGAGAGACGAGAGACAGACGGGGAAAGAAAGTGGAGAGTGGAAACCATAGGTGGCTTTGAGTCGACTCAAAAGTCACCAGTGGAAAGTGGACAGTGGACACCGCGCGACGCCATTACCGCACGCACCGAGCGAGAAGGGCCCGAGGCCTGCCCCTGGCCGCAGGTCCAACGTCGCGATGCCCATCACGCCACGCGGAGGCGGCGGCGCGCGGCGGAAGAAGAATGAGTGAACCGCGGAATTGGGGAGGTGAGTGAAGGAGGAATCAGGGCGAGGTGGGCGGAGGAGAGGAGAGCGAGTGGAGGTGAAGGTAAATGGCACGCTGCAGCTGCAGTTGCAGCTTCACTAGGCTACACGCCCTCAAGTACGCGATGCGAAGCGAGCAAGAGCGTGGCAGGGAGGGAGGGAAGGGCAGGGGATGTGGGGCTGAAAGCGAGTGACTCTCTGCTCTGCATGACGTGTGCCTGACTCGACCTGGCGGGTGCATTTCAACATTGTGATTCGTGGTGTACAAAGTATCACAAACCGTTTTAGCACATTTATTCTGGAGACTAGTGCAATATCGGGTGATTTTGTACCGGGAACAACAACCAGCCCCTTTTCCCCCCACAACCCTGCGCCCCTCCAAAACCTCTCGCGTCTGTTTTCGTTGCTCCTCCCACCTCCACCTCCGCCTCCCATTCGCGGCTCAAACGCCAGCTCGTCCGCGCAGCACGCAACTGCTGCGACGTCTCAACAGCAGCACCAGCTGAGCCTGCGGCACTAGCGGCGCCAAGAACGGCAGCAGCGGCGCGATGGCGGGCAACGGAGCGGCGGCTGATTTACTGGAGCTGGAGAACGACGGGTTCACGGCGCAGCAGATCTTCAATCAGGTCGCGCCACGTGGCTTTCCGAACTTCTGCTGCCCAATCGAATCTCCCGTCTGATTCATTGCTGGCATTGCGATGCCACGATCACTCGCTTCCTCTTTCTCCCCACGCGCCCCCCACCAATTTTACCTCGCCACGTGTCACCCCAGGGCGTGGCGTACACCTACGATGACTGCATCTTCCACCCGCGCCACATCAGCTTCGCAGCGTCTGACGTGGACCTGACCGGGCGCGTGACACGTGGCATCTCCCTGCGCATGCCACTTGTCAGCTCCCCAATGGACACGGTGACGGAGGCGGAAATGGCGGCGGCGATGGCGGCGGTGGGCGGCATGGGGTTTGTGCATTACAACAACAGCGTGCAGGAGCAAGCAGATTTGATTCGGCAGGCGAAACAGTGGCGAGTGGGCGTGGTGAATCAGCCGCCCACTCTGCCGCCCACAAGCACAGTGCAGGTGAGGGTGGGGGAGTGGGTGGCCTGATGACATGTGCAAGTGTGACGTGGAATGTGAGCGCTGACATTGCTCCCCGTCACAGGGTATGCCGTGCCAGCCACATCTGGCATTTCTAGATGTGGGTACAGAAGGGCTGTGTTCCCCCCCCCGCCCAACAACCCCCACCTTTCGCCCTTCCCACTCTCCCCCCCACACACCGCACTCCCCTCACTCCTCCCCATCTCTCCCCTTCGCATGGCCGCACCAGGCGTGGCAGGAGCTGGCGGGGATTAGGGCGGGCATGGCGCCGTGTGTGGGTGACATAGAGAGGTCCCATCCTGGACGATCCCCTCACACACGCCTCCATTGTCTCTTCCCTCCTCTCTTCGCTCCTCTCTTCGCTCCTCTCTCCACTCCTCTCTTCGCTCCTCTCTTCGCTCCTCTCTCCAGGCGTGGCACGAGCTGGCGGAGGAGGCCGGGCAGGGCGTGGTGTGTGTGACGGACGACGGCAGTGCGGGCGGCAGGCTGCTGGGCGTGGTCACTCAGAACGACGTTGACTTCGTTGACCCCAGGTGGGGGGGGAGGGGGAGGAAGAGTGGGGGGAGAGAGGGAGGATTGAGTATGGGGAGAAGGGCTTGAGGGGAGGATGCATGCTTGAGACGATGGTAGCGCGGGTGGCGGGCTGGTGGGCGTGGTTACTCGAAGAGTGGTTGCCTTTGCTGACCCCGGATGCGGGGGAGAGGGGCTAGATGCAGAGGGGAGGGAGATGGCAAGGGGTGGGGCAGGTGGGGGGGAAAGGAGGGCTCGGGGAGGCTCGAAGTGGGGAGAGAGAGAGGGAGTGCGACGACAACGTGCCCATGCACCTTGATGCACCTTGATGCACCTTGATGCACCTTGTCGACGACCAGGGGCATTTTCCGGTTGTGCCCCTGGTCGATCCATTCACGATTTTTGAGGCGCCTCAAAAACCGTCTCATTTCACGCGGATTTTATATGGGAAATATTTTCATTGCATGGAGGTGTGCACGTAACCTTCAAAAGTTACTTGTGCGAGCCAAGTTACCAAGGCTTATCGACAGTTCGGAAGAAGACCCTCCTGAAGGCTGACACATGCAACCTTGGGTTTTTACCCACTGCTGTGTTGGCGAATGCCCATTGATAGGCAATCTGGGTAGTTGATAATTTTGAGAATTGTTTTCGAGGGTGTGGGTTGTTACTTAGCTCATGCCTAGGCCTGTGATCTCTTATGCCCAGTAGCACTGATGAAGGCTCAGCGGGTTTGATCCCCGTAAGCCGAAACATGTTTGCCACCTGGTAATTTTGAGTGGAGGGCTTTTCGAGCAAATCTCCTGCCTAGGATTTTTTACTCTTGTTCTTTCTGCTCGAGCGACTAACTTTGCACTGCTGCTCTTCCCAAGACCATGAGTGACGACGACCCCTGGTCTATCCATTCACCCATACCCCTCCACCCTCTCTTCCATACCGTTCCCCACTTTTCTCCCTCCTTCCCTCCTCTCCACTCCCCCCCCCCCCCCAGCGCCTCACTTGCTGACGTCATGACGCCTCTCAAGGACCTAGTCACTGCCTCTCCGTCATGCTCGCAGGAAGACGCCAAGAAGCTTCTCAAGGTGTGTGTGTGTGGTTAGTTGCCTAGTAGGAAGCGCCTTAAAGCCCCCATCTCATAATTACTAGAGTTTTACTCTTGGTTGAGACAGGTACGCACTGATTGGTACGCGAGCTGTAAACAAAATTACGAAAACGAAACGCATGTGGCGAGGCCTTTTTGTTTCGACAAAAAACTCCAAACCAAGGAACAGGTCTGGGAAAGTTTTGGGCTTGTCAGGTTTGGCACATCGGATGGTGCAAACTCATATTTTTTCGCCCAACAATTTTGTACTTCGTTTTTAGCCGTCGATTTGAACGCTCAGTCAATCAACCGTCAGATCACCGGCTGTTGATGATCTAACAGTGCAGCAGCACCGTTCTTCCGTGAACTTGCGGATTCTCATATTGCAGAACTGGTTTTACGGTTGGTCTCCCCCCCCTAGCACATCACACTGTCCGAGGCATTTCCAAGCCTGTCACTTCATTTTCGCCAGCGTAACTGGGTACCAAACACTTAACACTTAGTCACTTCCTAGAATTATGAGAATGGGGCTTTAAGTTCTCTCACTCCTTTCGCACTCCCGCCTGCCCCAGCCACCTGCACTTGCCAGCACGGCTCAATCCACCTCCAAGCATCCCCTGCTTCCCACCTCGCCCCTCCTGCCCCCCTCCCCCCCCCATGGCACAGGACTCAAGGCGCAGCAGCATTCCTCGAGTGGCAGAGGACGGCGCCCTTAAGGCCCGCATCACGCGGCACGCGCAGCTCAAGCACCACCTCAGCGCTGCCCCGCCCCCCCCAACCGACCCCCGTCTCCCCCACCCATCACGCAGGAGTCAAAGCGCAGCAGCATTCCCCTGGTGGCAGAAGACAGTTCCCTCCGCGGCCTCGTCACGCGCTCGCTCCTCAAGACCCACCTCGCCTTGCCGCCCCGCGGCCCGCCCTCGCTGACGGCAGACGGCAGCGTGCTGGTGGGCGCTGCTGTGGGCACGAGGGACAGCGACCGAGAGAGGGTGGCTGCACTGGTGGACGCCGGCGTCAATGCTGGTGCGCCCCTTCCGCCCCCTGCCCCCCCCCCTCCTTCTCGTTCTCGTGCTCTGGTGGACGCACGGGTCACTGCTGGCAGGGCAGGTCCACTGTGGGCCCACTGCTGCTCCCCTCCCGCCTCTCCCCCCCCTGGAATTACCATTCATGCAACCCGTGCTTCGCTTCCTTCCTCTTGCCTCCCCATCGTCAGTGAAACTCAGGTCTTTTCATCCCGACTCAAAGCGCGTCCTCCCATCTCGCCATGTCGCTCTCTCCTCCCCTTTCCCCCCCCAGTGGTGCTGGACTCATCGCAGGGCGACTCGTCGTTCCAGCTGGCCATGCTGGCGCACTGCAAGCGGCAGTTCCCCGACCTCGAGATCATCGCAGGGAATGTGGTCACCGCGCGCCAGGTCAGTGCCACGCCAGGAGAGTTGCATGCACGGGTAGTGGCACGCACGGGTAGTAGCTCCCAGGGGTAGTGGCACGCAGGGGTAGTGGCACGCACGGGTAGTGGCACGCACGGGTAGTGGTACGCAGGGGTGTTGATATGCAGGGGTTGTGGAATGGCCCCCCCTGCGGGCTTTCTCCGCGCGCCCCCTGCAGGCTTGTGACGTGCTGGTTGTTGTGCTTCCCTTGAAAATCCGTCTCCCCTTAACCCCACTCTCGCTTTCCTCTCCCCCTCTCCCTCCCCTTCCCCCCTCCCATCCTATCCCTTCCCTGTCCAACCCCTACCCCCCCCCCTCCCAAACTGCCCCTCCCCCCCACTCTCTCAGGCGCGGCGGCTGATAGAGGGCGGGGCGGACGGCATCCGCGTGGGCATGGGGTCGGGGTCCATCTGCACCACACAGGAAGTGTGCGCCGTGGGCAGGGGCCAGGTGAGGATGGGTGGAGGGCAGGTGAAGGGCATGCAGGGGAGATGTCGCGAGTGGTTGATAGGTGGGAGGAGCATCCAGGGCGCGGGGTGGGGGTCCAGTTGCACCGTGCAGGAAGTGTGTGCCGCGGGGCGCAGGCTGGTGAGAGTGTGAGGGATGGGAGCAACGGAGTCTATTTTTGAGGCGCCTCAAAGACGGGAAACGGCAGAATCTATGGGCGATGAGGATAGGTGAGATGATTCAAGGGAGTGGGGAGCAAGGGGAGATGAGAGAAGCCAAGCCCACCATGCCATGGTTTATGCATGCAGCCGTGTCCTCCTCACCGTGCCCCGTGCCTGCAGGCAGCCGCGGTGTTCAAGGTGGCCAGCCTGGCGCACGCCATGGGCGGCGTGCCCGTGATAGCGGACGGCGGGGTGAGCAACACGGGGCACCTCATCAAGGCGCTCTCTCTCGGTGCCTCCGCTGTCATGGTCGGAAGCTTCCTCGCAGGCACTGATGAAGCACCTGGGCGCACGTACCTGCGGGTGAGCTTTGATTCGTCATTGTGGTACGGGCCTACAGGTGGGGTGGGAGTCGACTCTACTGTAATTTCACTCCGGCTGTAACCCTCAAGTCCTTGACTCAATTTGCACCAGCTCCCTCCCAACACGCGCTTCACCTTTTCCCCCGCCCTCCGATTCCCCCTCCCTCCATCGCAGGACGGTGTGCGGGTGAAGAAGTACCGCGGCATGGGGTCCTTAGCCGCGCAGAAGAAGGGCAGCGACAGCCGGTACCTGGGGGACACAGCACAGCTGAAGGTGGCGCAGGGTGTGGAGGGCGAGGTCAAGGCTAAGGGGTCGCTGCTGCGCCTCGTGCCCTTCACCGCGCACGCGGCCAGGCAGGGGCTGCAGGATCTGGGAGTCAAGTCCGTAGGCGAGCTGCATGAGGCGCTGCGAGCGGGGGAGATGAGACTGGAGGTGAGAGGGGTGCGGAACGAGGGGGTGTGCGGGAGGGATGGTAAAGCGCGTGTGAAGGGAAGGAGGGGAGGCAGGAAGGGCGCATGGGTAGGGGCGGGAAGGTGGGCAGGTAGGAGGGGTGGCAGGGCCAAGGACCTTGGGGCGAGCTGCAAGCGGCAATGCGGTTGGGGGAGATTTGACTGGAGGTTCGTATGGCACAGGCAGGCAGGGCTATGCAGCCAGTGGCTTCATTTTGGCACACGTTTCATGCATACACTGTTGCTGCTCTCATTCCGCCGTCGCGCTTGCCTTCTCCCATTGCCTCCTCCCTCACCTTTCTCTCACTGGCCTTGGGCAGGTGCGCACGGGGGCAGCACAAGCAGAGGGTGGGGTGCACGGCTTAGTGGCATATGAGAAACGGCTCTTTTGATTGCATTCTAACTGTTGGAAATACCTCAAGGACTTGAGCGTTTCTGAAGTGTAATACTACACTCGAGTAAAGCATCGGGTACGCGAGTCAACGGAGGTTACACGAGGAGGTTGGACGAAAGAACACGAAAGGACGAAGGACTCGAAGGGTCGCAACCGGAGGCTGCGACTGACCGTTACAACTGCAAGGGTGGTAACCGAACCGACCATCGAGTCGCTGTGCGACTCGATAACCGTTTCTTCAACTGTATTCCACAATTGCTTTACCTTCCTATTTTCTATATATTACTGTATGCTTGTTTCTTTTAATCAATCACTTGCTCTCACTTACTAGTGCAAGGGTTCAACCACTCAAACTTCCGCACTACTCCAGTATCTTGTACAACTGGGGCTTGGTCTCTGAAAAGATCCTAAGGGCTTTTCTCAGCCCAACACTAACAAACGCCTTACATCTCCATTTGGCTACATAGAGCATTTACAGATATAATCCAATCAGGGAGTGATGGTGAGTGTCCTGTGATGAGAGCAGGGCATACTGCCACAGTGTCAGTCTGCTAGGGCCCCAGCCAACGTTGGTCATTCACATGCGCCGTGCAACCTCTTGTGCGCGCCTTGTGGCGCCTCCGCGGCACAAAGATGACAAGCATAAGCCGCCTGCCCGCATGTTTCCTACAACCAGAAGCCAAGCCTGGGGAAAAAAACGCTGAAGACGTTTGGTGTGTCGCGGCTGCACAAGGGGAGCAATCACCGCGTGGGCCTGGAATGATGTCCGCCCTCAGCGGCAAGTGATGCTCTGTGGGAGCGACCGCTGCCGCCTCAACACCCCTTCCGCCGCCCGCGCCCGCGGCGCCTGTTGCGTCGCTGCGGGCGGCAGGGAGTGGCAGAGCGGATCCGCAGTCCTAACGCTCGCGACAGCAGCTGCGCGTGAATGCGGGGAACAGTCCCGCTCCGCCTGCGCCGCGCTCTGCTGACGCCCGTCCGACTGGGAATTCACGGCTGAATCGGCGGCGTCTCGTACAAGCGGGAGGCTGGGGCTCGACAGCCACCGCTTCAGCGGCGCCGCTCGCCCGATCCCTTCAGGCGACGCGGATTCTGGAAGCGACGCGCTGCGCCCCGCGATGGCGCGACGCAGCGGCGATGCCGTGGCGCCCGCTGCACGTCGGCTGGCGACCGCGGACGACGCGGGTGGAGGAGGTGGCAAGAACTTGGCGAGACGTGGCTCGCCGTCCGCTGCCGCGCGCGTGGCGTGGTCGGAGCGGAGCGCGCCAGCGGGGTTTGGGGGAAAATCCCCCTGGGAAGAGGGGAGTGGCGCAGCGGAGGAACCGTCAGGAGCATGCGCGGATGAGAACGATTCCAGTGAGCGGTCGATGGGGGGACGGGGAAGGGAGAGGGATGACGCGGGTGCATGGAGGCGGGACGGAAGGACGCCATGGACATTGGCGTGAAGCGCGGCAGCAGCGCCGTCGAGCGACGTGGAGAGGAGAGTCGGTGCAACGGGTCGAATCCTAGAGAAGTGGGCCAGCTTGAAGCGGTCCTTGCTCACATCGCGCCTGGCAGTCGGAGCTTGTGTATCCATTTGTTTGGAAGAGATCGTTCGGCTCAGCGAATAAACGGCTAGTTAGGAATGGTAGTGGGAGCAGCTGCTAGGAATTAATTTTCTGTGAGTGCGGGTTTGCAAGAACTAGTGTGGTACAGAGGGACTTAGTACGCTTCTGCTGTTGTCTCGGTCTTGTGGCTGCCTCTTGTAAACACCCCAGCCAGGTCGGACTGAAGCTGCAATGCAAATCACGCGGCGTGGAGTTGATTGCAGCGCGCCAATGACATTGCGACGTGCGACGAAAGTGAGTTCTGCTCGCAATGCCCGCGCACGGCGAAACGTGAGCTTGGGGGACAAGGCTTTCGCCGCGTCATCGCCTGCCAGCGAGGGAAGGGGAGCCAGCAGGGCGAGGAATGGGAAGACAGGTGCGCGGAAAGAATTACCAAAAATTCTGGAAACAACCGCAATCTGTAGTTGCAAGGCCCTCAGCTGCTGCCCGTTTGCGGACGTTTGCGGATGAACACGATTTCCTCACGGACAAGCCATCACAGCCAGGGCTCTTTTTTTTTTTTTTTTTTTTTTTTCGTTTTCCAAGACCTAGCGGTCTCAGGATTCGCTTCACTGAAGACCCTGAAACCAGCAAGGGTGATTTTCCATACTACAGTAGTCGGATGGCCAGGACAAATTTTCCCGCAATCCGGATTGCTCCGGGAGTTCCTTGGAAACGTCTGGAATTAGTCAGGAGGTTTGGGAGACCGAAATTTTCAGAATCAGGATTTCAGCTGGAAAGACCCGGAATGTACCTAAAGTTCCGGATGTTACCCTTGGACCGAGAGCCCTGATCACAGCCCGTCTTGCACCTGTTGCGATCAACAGGACGCCACTCAACAAACGAATTTCTGGTGCCTCGCGACCATCGCATGTTTGACGAGGCTCGCTCAAGCTCAGGGAAGGTTCGCAGCCAACCAAAGTTGCGCAACTACTCGCAGCCGCGTCTCGCCAGGGAGTTCGTCAAAGATCGCTAGACGGTGGCGTTTGCTGAGAACCATTTCTGCCAGGACTGCCTGCAGTGGAACCAGCAGAGGGGTCACCTCACCCTCCCAGCAGCAAAACCTAGCAAGCCAAGGCAAGTACCTGGTGACCGCAGCAGTCGAAATTTCACTTGCCAATGGCGAGGTTTGCCAGAATCGAAACCCATATTGTTCGTGCAAATTTCCCCGTTATTGATCTTGAGTTGAGGGCTCACTGCGTCTTTGTATAGATTAAAGCCCGCAGTCCAAATTGCGAGGCGCGACCTTCAAACGCACTGCGTTTGAAAGTCGCGTTTTCGTGGGTGTAGATGGGGGTAACGTGACTCGCGTCACTCGGGCCTGGCTTTCAAGTTCAGAGCGGAACGTATTTTGGGACACCAAGTGCCTCGCGTTTTTTAGCCGTCCAATATTTGTCGATTTCCATCTAACGGCGCGCAAGTAAAGTACTTCCCCCAGTCAATCGAAATGCAATCTCAGCCGTCGCACTGCCTGCTTGCAAATCGGACGATCTACGACAAATTCCGAATTCGCGACATGAAACACCCTCACAATTTTTCTGTGTATTTCGTCCAGGCCGAGGCTCACAGTTCATACGCAGTGCGTATGAACAATTTGGGCCGCGGGTTTTAATTCAACAGTATATACATACACAACGACAATGCATTCAAAGAAATCTAAGGGGAAGTAAGAACTCTAGTTGGTTACTTGGTGTGGTGGAGTTACTGCTAGGCTGATTGAGAAGCGTCGAGCAACCTCTCGCTAACATCGCATTGTCCTACTCTACCGAAAATGCCCACAAGATTCAACAAGTGCGCGTTTCTATTCCTCGCCATGGCCAGGAAGTTCCACTACGATGTGTAACCCCTTTCTGTCCTCGAACACCCCTCGCAGCTGTACCCCTCTGCACCCCTCGTCACCGCTCACATGCATCAAACCCGCAACCTCCGCCTGCGCTATCTCCACGTCCTCCCCGCTTCGGAGGAGCCTCCTCGGGATCGTCTTGCACGCCATGGTGGGCGAATTCCGGCAAGCCGATGGGTGTTTCCCGAAGCCGCGTCTTTCCGTGCATCGGCGGACTATGCCGGACGCGCCGCGAAGGATCTCGTCGCCCAAAACGAAATGCCAGGAGAGCGGCTCGGATTCGAACGGCAGCACCCACCCGCCGAGCGGAGCCATGGATCCGTCCCTCGCCTGACCACCCACGCGGCGGACTCTAAAGACGCCGGGAGTGTCAGAAGACAGATTATGGAACATTTCGGTGAAATCATTGCCGAGACATACTTCAGGAGATTCATTTCCATCCGCTGACGGCCGCGAGCAGTTGTCGCACGAGGATTCAGTGCGGCAGCGGCTGAACGTCTGCTGGTGGCTGTCCATATCGATCATCGTGAGACTAGAGTATGAGAGCTGCGTGTGATGAGGACTTCCAAGTTCAAGATGAGCAGAGAGCAAGAAAGTGGAGTAAAAGTAGGCAGTGTGCAAAATGAGTTGATGATGGCCAGTGGGCTGGGCACATATAGGCCGTGGCGTGGTCGAATGCAAGCAGCAGTGGTCGCCTGCAGCTTGAGGAGGGGGGAGACGGCTGGCTGTGGGGCGGTGTTCCGCACTGTTCCCCTCAGCTTGTGACGTGTCACGTCATGCGTGTGGAATTGATCGTCGGCTGGAATGAAGATCATTGGTCGGCTGACAGTGGTTCGCCGGAAGCACAGACAGAAGTTGCGTGCCAAATGTTTTCTTTTTGTCGATTCTCGTGGACTATTCGGCAGTTGACCCATCTCAAGCGTCCATCAGCCAGACATGAGGACAACAGTCCCAGCTGCGACATCGGGAAGCGAGCAGCGAAAACGGCTTTCAAGAAGGGAAACGCCGGCGAATTCAAGTCTGCAATGATAGCTTGGGTGGAGGGATCGCAGATGTAACTGACCAGGGCGATGTAACCACGGTTATGCTGTACACTTGTCCGGCAAGTTGGCCCGTCTTGATTGCGATGAAGGCTACCGAACAAGCGTACATTAACTTGAAAATATCTATATTTAGTTTTTTTCATGCAAGTAACAAACAATCAATCATCTATATGCTGATGTTGGGCTGAGAAAAGCCCTTAGGATCTTTTTAGAGACTAAGTCCCAGTTGTACAAGATACTTGAGTAGTGCAGCAGAAGTTGACTAGTTGAACCCTCGCACTAGTATGTGAGAGCAAGTGATTGATTAAAAGAAACAAGCATACAGCAATATATAGGAAAGAAAAACAGTTGTAGAATACAGTTGAAGGAACGGTTATCGAGTCGCACAGCGAATCGATGGTCGGTTCGGTTACCACCCTCGCAGTTGTAACGGTCAGTCGCAACCTCCGGTTGCGACCCTTGGAATCCTTCGTCCTTTCGTGTTCTTTCGTCCAACCTACTCGTGTAACCTCCGTTGACTCGCATACCCGATACGGCTTTACTCGAGTGAAGTGTTACACTCTAGAAAAGCTTGAGTCCTTGAGGTATTTCCAACACTCCCCTTCGTTTCTGGGGTGCTGACGTGTCCAGATTCTGTGACATTTATCTGCCCGGTCAGCAGCATGCAGTAATCGAACTTTGCCTTCGCCAGTTTCTTCGTCAGGTAGTCTGCGGCCATTTCTGCCGTGGGGCAGTAACTGAGCTGAAGTCTTCGCGATCTCATCCTTGACGAAGAAATACCGCAGGGCGATGTGCTTGGTTCGATTGGCGAACCCATCTTTGTTCGCGATTTTGATTGCGGATTGATTGTCGCAGAGTAGCGAGAAGGCGGGCATGGTCGCTATTTTCGCTTCCTCGAGCAGCTCCCGTAGGTAAAGTCCTTCTTTGGTCGCGGTGCAGAGGGCGATATATTTCGCTTCAGCCGAAGATAGTGCAATTAGTTCCTGCTTGCTCGATTGCCAGGAGATAGTCCCGATAGGTTCTAGTCGGTATATGTAGCCCGTTCTGGAGCGTCGATTTTCCTTGTCTCCTGCATGGTCGGCGTCGACATAGCCGAGTAGTCGTACGGACGACGGTGTTACTTTGCTTTAGGTAAGTCTGGTCATTGGCGTAGAGACGAAGTAGAGTAGTGCCCGATTTAATTCTTCGAGATCCTCTTGCTCCGGCTGCTTCAGGTGTGTCGCCAGTTGGCTCGCGCTGTAGGATAGGTCCGGTCGGCAGGTTACTGCTACGAACAGTAGACAGCCGAGATTCTGTTGATTTTCCTGGATCTGCTTCGCGGGGAGTTTTGTGGAGGTTCCGCTCTTGTCGTTCCCGTAGCAATAAGGAGTCGCGACTACGATTGGCGTTAGTCCGAATTTCTTCGCGACGACGCCTGCGTACTTTTCGGCGTGTAGGTAGAACGCCGAGTTGTCTTCGACGACGTTCAGGCCCAGGTACTGGGTCACGGTGCTGGACACCGTGAGTGTCAAGTCACTCCTTAGCTCCCCTTCGAACAAGGTGGCGATGTCGGTAGTGGAGTTGATGTAGAGCAGGTCGTCGACGTAGACTATTAGTAGGACAAAACCCCCTTCCTTCTGTAGTCGGTACATGCCTTGGTCGTGCGGCAGCTGTAGGAAGCCGATCTTGACGAGGCGGCCGTGAAGATGCTGCTGCCAGAGCCGCGGGGCTTGTTTGATTCCGTAGAGGGATTTTACCAGCTGGCACACTTTTGTGGGATATTCGATGAATCCGTGGGGCTGCTCGATGAAGATTTCGGCATCCACAGGTGCGTACATGAAGGCGTTGGCGACATCGATCTGGCGCGGTGGTAGCCTTTTCGTGGCCGCGACGGCGACCAAAATGCGCAGGGAGGTATGTCGGGAGACTGGGGTGAATGTCTCTGTGTAGTCGGTTCCATATTGCTGGTTGAATCCTCGTACGACCCAGCGAGCCTTGAAGCGGTCGATGGAGCCATCCGCATTAGTCTTGATGCGGTACACCCATTTTTCCGAGAGCACGTTTTTCCCGTTGGTTTTTGTTGCCGGTACCAACTTCCACGTGTTTCGGTCTTGTAGGGCCTTCAGTTCTTTTTCCATTGCTTCCTTCCATTTCGCCTTGTGTTCCCCCCCCAAAGCCTGCGACAGAGTCGTTGGCTCGCGCGGAGACGGCGGCGGTGGGCTCTGGACGGCAACCCATAGTCCAAGGATTCGCAGGCCCGTGGGTGTGTGTCGAGGGGAATTTTCATTCCCGGGATAGGCTGCTTCGTCACCATCTTCTGGGTCAGGTAAGAAATTTGGTCCAATGCGTTCTGAGACATTCGTGTCGACTGGTTGAGGTGTAACGTAACCTTGGTCAGCGACGTGGTAATAGGTGTCGAGGTTGTTACTATCGAGAGGATTGTCGTCGTCGAGGGGAACAGGCACGGAGCAGTAAGGGAGTGGTCCGGCAGTTTCCGAGGCTTCAGATACGTCTTCTTCTGCTGTGTCAGCTTCGGCAGCACGATCGGCGAAGGACCGAAGGCCCTCGAAGCCATCGGTGGGGTCTTCTGTGTTGGCGACATTGTCCAGATAATGCTGCAGCGTCAGTCGCTCGTTGAAAATCACATCACGTGAGGCCACGGTATTTTTGTCTTGTATGTCGAGGAGTTTCCATGCTTGGAAATGTTTTGCGATGCCGAGGTGTAGTCCCCACCGTGCTCGTTGAGTGAAGCATCCTGCTCGAGCTGTGCTGGGTCTGTACTGTACCATGCAGCCGAAAACTCGAAGTAATTTTGTGCTGCCCCTTTTTCGTGTCCATTGCAGGTGCGGTGATGCGTTGTTGGGAAGTGATGACGAGGACAGCAAATTGTGCAGGTGGACTGCATGCGTCATCGCGTTTGGCCACAGTGTGTTGGGCAGTCTCATCCCAGGAGCAGCTTCCGCATCGTCGTCTGCAAGGTCCGGTTCATCCTCTCTGCGACCCCCTGTTGTTGGTGAGCGTAGGGCAGAGACAGTAGGCGTCTGATGCCTCTTTCTGCCAAGCAGTTCCTGAATCGTTGTGACTGGTACTCCAGTGCTCCGTCTGACTGGAAGCTCTTGAGTTGCGAGCCCGATTCTCGTTCAGCGATGGGCAGCCATGCCGTGAAGACTTCGAATGCTTGATCTCGTGTCTTGAGGTTGTAGTGCTAGACGTATCGTGTTGCCGCGTTGATGAACGTTATAACGTAGTTGTATTCTGCTTCGCTGTCGTCTCGAGGCATATTTAAGATGTCGCTGTAGACTTTTTGCATCGGTTCGTATGCAGGTGCGCTTGGATTGTGGTGCGACGTAAAAGGTTGGTGGGGAAGATCGGCTTCGGGGCACGTGAAGCATCGTGCGCGGGGTCGTCGAAGTTCTTGGCCGCTCGTTGTGAGAAGGGCGTTTCTTTCTAACACTTCGGCTTGTATGGTTTGTAGCACTGTGCTGTTTGCAGGATGCCCGAGGCGTTGATGCCAGATGTCGTCGGGAGCGCGATGGCCGGGTGAGCGTTGATACATGTCGGCGTTGGAGAAGAACGCGACGACCGTGGCGGGACTTCGCCAGACTTCTCGGGTGATGGGCATGAGTTGATCTGCTTCGGTTGGCGGTCCTCGGATTGCTGGTGATGGTACACGGCTGGGTCCTGCTTCTACTACTGCAGGTGATGTCGGGGAAGGGACGCTTGCTGGTACTTGTCTTTCTGCTGCTAACGCTCGCGTTCTTTCTGCTGCAGGTATGGTGTTGGAGTACCAGAATCCATCTGGAGTGAAGTCGGGATCAAGATCCGGCGGGTGCGTCCAGGCGATGAACGATACGATGCCATCGCTGTCGGCAGTACCGCGATCGGGGACGAAATCCAACACGAAGACACCCGACTTCAGGAGAGCGCGACCGATGAAGAGGCCGCCCTTCCCGTGGTAAAGACGAAATTCGCTGGCGTTCGAGTCGCATTCCAGGTGAATCCCCTTTTCCATTAGCTGACTGACGCTTAGCAGATTGTATCCCAGATTGTCGACGATTAGAACCTTGTTGAGTTGCAGTATGACATTTGTCTCCATGGACTGCAACTGAACCACTCCTTCTCTGTTTGTTTTCAGGTTCTCGTTGTTGGCGACGGTGATGATGACATCGCGATTGAGACGTCGTTCTCGTTGCACGAAGCGCCCGGAAGAACACATATGTTGACCGCAGCAACTGTCCAAGGACCAGGTGTTTCGCCCGGTGGGTTCGGCGTTTGCGACTGCAGCGTACGTCGGGTTGACCTGAAGACCTTGTGGGCGCGGCGGCGGCAGTTCTTCTTCATTTGGAGCGTAAGTGGGTGGTGATCCGTGTGCGCAGTTGTCGATGCGTACCATACAATTGATGATGTTCGGTGTGCCCTGTGCAGATATAGAGGAACGCCTTGGCGGACTTTCTTGAGTGGAAGCGACTTGTGTGTCTACTGGACGATAAACTCGGGGGCGTGTGCAGATGTCCGGATGTCTGACAATTGTGGCAGAACGGCGGCACGATGGTGAGTCCTTTGGTGTCGTGTCGATTCTGCCTGTCATCGATTGTAGTTGTCGTTTCTTCATTCAGCATAGAAGACTAACGGTTGCTGCTTGTTTCTTGGTTGTCTTTCTTCAAACAGGTCCATCTCCTGTTGTTCAGCATGAAGCTCGGCGCAGAGGTGCATCTCCGAAAATCGTCCGTGGGCGCGAAGAAGCGAGCAGGTGGTTCTCCATTCTGGCCCCAACCCGGCGAGGTCAATTGTCACGAAGCTTTCTTCAGTTATTGTACCTCCGCAACGAAGCACGCGTTCGCGGAGTGTCTGGCAGCGACTCATATGCTGCATCGCCTTTCCCCGTTTTTCATTTGTATTGTTGTCAACTGCTGCATGAGTTTGCTTTGTGTCACGCTGTCATTTGCTTCGTAGAGACACTTGAGGTGATGCCATGCGAGTTCCGCGGAGTTTCCGTAGCTCCGATATGTTCTTATGCTTTGTTGTTCTTGTGGTGACAGGTTCCGCAGGAGAACTGTGTACGCCAGCAGCGACTGAT